TACGAGAGAGATGCGCCATGATTGTTGTGTGAGAGATCGACAGTTTTGCAGCGGAAATCATGAAAGAATTTGCAGCGGAAATTGTGAAAGAAGATAGTAATACACAGTTAATTTGCATTTTTGCGAGTTCAGTGAACATTAATGCCATCGTGTGAGACTGGAGACGGAGTTGTTGCAGAAGTTCAGCTGATTGCGTCATTGAACAGAGAATGGTATGAGAGACTGGCTGAGAGCACAAGAGAGTTGCTGGAGACATGAGTTTCATTCTGAACACTGTTGTTTTTGTGTCATTAGAACTGTTAGCGCTTTTGAGAGATTTGCTTTCCAGAGTCATTTATGAACTGTGCATCATTTAAGTGCGCAAGAATGTGTATACTGTGTGAACTGGAAGTGAGTTTTTCACAGAGTGTTTAATTTTTTCCACTCTCTGAGTATTTTGCATTTTTGTCGAGACTGTCCATCGCTTACGATCAGTTTTGCTTTTGGGAAGCACTTTTGAGACACAGTCAGTGTGTGCTGTGGCTGAGCTGCGCCATTTTGTTCTAGAAAGTTCCTGAGTTTTTCCTGGGCCACGCTAAGTTTTTTTTTTTATTACCCTGCCATCCTGACGACATCTCCTCACTGTCCTGCCCCAGCTGTTAATTTCATTATCACAAGTCATCTAAAGTCGTCTCAAGTCATCGCAAGCCGTCTCAAGTAATCGCAAGTCATCTCATCAATTTCATTGTTGCTACAGACTAGTACAAACGTTCTTTGCACATGCACACACATTAATTCTTCACTGATACAGACTGAACTGAGAACTTGAACTAAGAAGCTGAACTGATTTTGGTGTGAAAACTGAATCATTTGTTGATTCACAAGAGTCGTTTTAAGCAAAGTCTCAAATAATCCAGTAGCCAATAATACCCTCAAAATCTGGGTGCAATTTAGGAAACAGTATGGCTTACATAAGGGCCTTTCGCACCACTTTAGTTCCAGAATTAAATGTACAGTACTAAAGTACTGGGACGATTTTGCATGAACTATTTCCCAGTACCATTTAAAGGGTTGCATTCGCACCGACAGTGTGTACTAGGAAGTGACATAAGCCGGTCAACAGCGACGTCATTTGTGCGCGGCGTTCAACAACGGAAACAAAGAACAACGTTAACAATAGGAGGATGGAGGACGCTGTGATCGGAGCTGTGTTTTTGTTGTGTCTCGCGGGTTTCACAATAATGGACATGGAATGTCGATGTAAAGTGATTGAAAGAACAGAAAGGAGGACTAAGAATCTCCAACGACAACTGGCAGTGCTACATTTGCTACAAGTGCCTGCACTACAGCGTCCGTCCATCTATTGCTGTTCTCCATACTTGCAAAATAAGTTGGCACAATGTTTACAGTATGTTCACACAGTGTTTTAAATCATGGCGGGTGAAGGCGTTTTCGTACGCGTTTTGCCAATCAAGGTCTACTTACGTCACGGGTAGTGCCAGTTGTGCTGGTTAGACCCTGCTCCGGAGTAGGAGCTAATTTGGTTCTCGAAAAAGGCAGTCTGGTACTAAAATCGCTCCCAGTTTTTAGTGCGAAAGTGTCAAAAAGTGGGTAGTTCCACAATTAGTTCTGGTACTATGAAAAGGTTCCCGCGGTGCGAAAGGCCCTACAGAGGTTCTATTCACATGCCTATCTTTGACAATTATTTTTCCCCCCATCCAGTTCAGACCCTGCATTTTGTGTTTGGTCATCTAATGGCCTTCTCAAGATTAGTGACCTCTATGAAGAGGGAGTCTTTGCTGCCTCCTCCTTTTTATCTAAAAAGTATAATTTACACAGTCATCCCTTATTTCAGTTTTTCCTAATCAGAAAACTTTATACAGAAGCAGTTCCCTCACTTTCCTAATCGTCCCCCTGAAACGCACATTGATAATTTCCTTGATTTTCCTTGATCAACCATAAACGTTTAATCTCAGTCATTTATAATTTAATAAATTAAATTAATGTGGACCCTACTGACACTCTTAGAGATACTTGGGAGCACGACCTAGGAGTTACTATTACAGAGGATCTATTGTACTTTGAAGTCACACACAGAATGGTCTGTGCAGTGCTGCTTCAAGTCCAACACCTATTGTGTTTTATTAGGAGATGCACAACAGTTCTTCTGTGGCTTTATAGGTAATATTTTCACGTACACAATTTAGCAAAATCAGACAATATTGTGTCTAATATATACCACAATATTAACTTCTTATTATTGAATTGTTGTAAATAAATATCACATTTGCAACTGGTCAGTGTTCAAAAAATGCTGGGAAATCTCTTCATGTAGCTCTACTAGAGTGTTTACTTATAAACTGTCTGAAAAAAAGAAAGTCATGTTTTAGAGAAGAAAAAAATCACCCACTGACTTTCAAAGCTGCTACATACAGTAGTAAAGACTTTCTACTTCGAGGACCTTGATAGAAATGTAGTGGAGTGAAAAGTACAATATTTGTCTTTTAAATGTAGTGACGTTGAAGTCATAATTTCCCACAAAAAATAATACTCAAGTAAAGTACAGATACTCAAAAAGTAAATGTACTTAGTTACTGTCCGCCTCTGCATTTAATAAAGCTCTCAACACTAATATAGACCCTGATCCCTTGTTAGCCCTCTTTGGAGTATCCCTTAGACCTGATCTGACAGCCCGAGATAGTAAAATTGTTGCTTTGATCCTTCTTAAGTGGAAGCACACTTCACCCCTTATGTCCAGGGCTGTCCTTAGGGTGGTGCAACTGGTGTGGTGGCACCGGGCCCTGCGCTTTGAGGGGATTTATATTTTATATTTATATTAACTGATCAAATCTGACATTAGAACCAAATTCTTAAACAGGCACTGTTCACAAAATGCACAGTATATTTCTATAAAGTTTATATGAAAGAATAAAAATATGAAACTAATTCAAATTCTGATGTACGATCAGCACGTCAGAATCTGTCAGGTTATGTCATCATTAGATACAGCGCAGGATGTCTTGGAGGATGAGGATCGGAGGGCACTGAAGCGAGTGAAGATCAGAAAAGCAGCTGACCCTGATGGTAGGCCTATTTCTGTTCATTTTCTGAGATCCTGCGCTGATCGGCTTGCAGGTTTATTTACATACATCTTCAACGAGTCCCTTGCTACATCTGTGGTTCCCACCTGTTATAATCCTCATGTTGCCTTCCTGTCATTTTTACGAAAATGCTTGTTAATGTTATTGCATTGGACTAAAACTGATTGACTTTGCTTACATACAGTCCATAACAACTGTTTTTTTTCTCAATCATTTTTGTACTTTTGGGAGAGTTTTCCCCCCACTTTCCTGTTTAAAAATGCCTACAATGCCTTTCCTGCCTACAAACATTTGCTCATATATTTCTTCTAAGGCTATATTATTTACCAAAGCTTAGGTTCAATCTTTTTATCAACTTGTTCTTTCAATTAGCAATTTGTATTTCTTTTTGGAACTGATTAATCGACCTCATTGATCTGAGCTTATGCACCTCAGTTTTTGAATGAATGTTGAATAGAAATGTCGCAGCTCCTAAGTCTTAAGTGTAGGAGAAAAGTCTTAAGTACAGTGTGTAATGTTGTTGAGATCTTGTTTGAAACTTTGGAAGACACAAATATGAGACCACCAGAGTCTTTAGGAGAAAGATCTGAGCACAGTGTGTGGTGATGTAGTTGAGATCTTTTCTAAAGCTTTAAAGGAGACAAATGCAATAGATTCAGAATCTCTAAGGAGAAAAATCTGAGTACAATGTGTGATGATGATGATGATGAGGTGTCTTCTAAAGCTTCAAAGGAGACCATTGTGAGAATGTTAGAGTTTTTGTCTCAATAAAATAAAATTGAAGACAAAGCTGATACTTAAATTAGATATTTAAAAGAATTGGCTCTTAATGTCCTAGCCTTAGAGTAACCTCAGTCAGAGCCATAGCCTTGTGGGTAGCACATCAACTTCAAGACACAACTGCACCTCAGACAGCATGAGCTCGAGTCCCAGCTAAAGATACTTTCCTGTTCCCTTCTCACCCATTTCTCCTCCAACTGTCCTGATCATTAAAGGTGAAAATCCCCAATGTAATCAAAGATAGAAAGAGTAACATCTGAGCAATAAGACTTTTTTATAATAGTGTCTGGAAAGAGATTACAGCAAGACACTAAAGAGATATCCCATGTTTCTTACAGCCCATTTTCATTTTGGACTCCTTTCTCGCAGAACTTTCTTATGTTTCAGTTATGTCTACTTTTATTTCTCCTAAGGAATTTTTGAAGACAATGAGATGCTGTTGATACAAATTTTTCCTCTTGGTTGGTTATGAAGGTCTTTGAGAGACTCATCAAAGCTCATCAGCTTGGTCCATGACTTTCTCACAGGCAGTGAGAGTAGGCCAGTTCACCTCAAACTCCAGGCCCACAGGGTTGTGTCCTGAGTCCCTGCTATACTCTCTCTACACATACGACTGCATGTCCTCTCACAGCTCCACTTCTGTTGTGAAATTTGCTGTTGATATGGTGGTTCTAGGCCTCATCTCCAACAACAAGAAACCAAGGAACTGAGTGTAGACTTTAGGAAGAGACAGCTGTGGACCTATTCTCCACTCATGATCAACAGGGCCCCCCCCCCCCCCATGGAGAGGGTGAATAACCTTAAATACCTTGGAGCAAACATCTCTGAAAACCTGACTTGGACTGTAAACACACAATCTCAGGTGAATAAAGCCAGACATGTACCTTCTGCGAATGCTGAGGAAATTCAGGATCTCAGCAGCAATCCTGAAAACTTTCTGTACAGGGGCCACAGAAAGCATACTTACTCAGCATATCTCATTGTGGTATGGGAACTGCTCTATCCAGGACTGCAAAGCTCTGCAAGGAGTGGTGTGCTTAGCTGAGCAGTCTGTTCAACCAATTTGTGTCAAATCATATTAATATGAAAGCCCATGAGGCCTTACATGTTTAAATAGGAACACGCTTCCTAAACCTGTTGTAAAGTTTTATTGTCTTGTGTGATTGATTACAGTAGAAAATGTACAAGAGAGTAATAACTGATGCAGTGACAAAATTTCACTGCAGTATTTCATTTGAATCCCTTTATCAATTTCCAGTTTAGAAGTGAATAAAATAAATAATTTTCACCTAGATAAATAAGAGACTTCTTTGACTTGTATAATTTCAGTTTAACATTAAGAGAACTCTGCAGTGTACAAAATGTACAAAATGATTTTGCTGTAAAAGAAAGTTATTTTTAGCAGATTTGTTTGAGGTTCACAGTATATGAATCATTCATCATCATCATCATCGTCATCATCATCTTCGTCATCATCGTCATCATCATCCTCTGTATTCACTGTTCCAGAGAGCACATCTTCTATCCAGTTTTCCAGCTCTTCAGGTGACGGCAGCTCATCATCATCAGGTATCTCCAACCAGACACTGTCCGCCTGTCATAGAGACCATGACAGTGGGACAGATCCAAGCATGAGAAAGAGGGCTTTCATAATGAATTCAGCAGATCTGGTTAAAAATGAAAGTAGTGCACTTACATCTGTAACATTAACTACACCAATCTGTGGTCTGAAGAGGTCAACCTTGAAGGTCTTCTCCCAGTAAGGAATGAGCTAAGAAAGGAAATGTGCATATAAAGAGGGATTACAATATTACTGATTCAAAATATTGTCATGCATCTATCCAGACTTATTTTAGTCACCAGTGGGAAGTTGTCTGGGTCAATCCACACAATACTCAGGTCTGGATTGTGTGTGTTGTCTCTGGCCACCTCCTTCAAAATCTCCAAGAATTCAAAACCATCTGAAAACCATATTCAAGGTCAAGTCCTTTTGATACAGCTCACACTAAATTAATATCATTTGGCTTTTAAAGGAATGAAGAGGTGCCCTGAAATTGTACATACCAGGGTCCTCTTCTTCTGCAAAGGCTACAATGTGAATTCCATTCAAATCATCCTCCTGCAAAAGAGAACTTTTATTTCAGTGTGTCATTGCTTTATGATATCCACAGGTATTTCTCTTCTCTGCAACAGGGCTTTATTTTGCAATAAAGCTGACTTTTCACTGTTCCCCTTATTACATGACCACTCAATAAATGAGTGCACTGGCAATGTGGACATAAAATATTGATTTGGGTTTCAATTATTTTATAACTGGATATCTTAAACCAGGTGCTTATTAGAAAAAAAAAATAGTCAATTACAATATAAACAGTCCAATGTAATATAATATAATAATATTAATAGTGAAGTCCTCTGGAGCCATTTTTATGGCAATCAATAACTGACATGCAAGATGGCGCCAGTCAAGTTTATATAAAACAAGAAAGTGAGTCAGTATGATAGGAGAGGCATGAATGTAGCTCTAGTTTAAGTTAATGTTTAAGCAGACTGATATAGAGCACTGCCATGGATGATATTAGGAGGAATCTGACCTCTAGATAATGCAACTGACCAATCAGAATAGTTTTCCAGAAAGCCGTGCAATAAATTATGATAGTCATATAAAATATAACAATCATACAATTCCATAAAATTTTCATTTAAAAATATTGCTCACCCAGGTCTCAAACATGTCTTCTGCCCTGAGCTTTCTTAGAGTTGGTCTGTGGAGGTCAATAGATATCATCAATATGAATTTGACATCAATATCAAATATCTGTTTATCCATCCTTCAGAATATCATTAGATTAGCTTTTACTGATTACCTCCTGTGTTCGGATATGAAGGCCACCAGCTCTTCCTCTGAGTGTGGTTTGTCTGGAATGGTGACTGGTTCCTCCATGAAGGGCTCATAGAAGTCCACCTCATTCATCTTTAGAGTCAGCTCTTTTGCAACCTGAAACACAACAATTAAAGCAACACATCTGCCATCAGTAGAGAATTCTCCACTCCCCAAAAGAAAATAATGGCACAATGATAGCTTAAAGATATTCTAAACATAAACAGAGTGTAAAATAAAACAATACTCACAGATTTCTCAAAGGTGGCAAAAAAATTGATAAAAGGCTGAAACTGTTCAGCTGCCTCTTGGAAAGCAAGATAATCTGAGGAAACCAGAGAAAATAAATAAATGAAGCTAACATTTGTTTGTATATTTATTAAAAGGCAACTGAATCAAAAGTTGTAAATTCCATTTGGATCACAACTGGGACCTTTATTTTTGACAGTGTAGCCTACCAGAGTTGTGACTTGAAATAAATGACCTTTAAATGTCAACTATAGCTTGAAAGAGTAGTAGCCTACAATGCTCAAGAGAGTTCTTTGTGCATTTAAAAACATAACTGGAATGTACAGACATTTAAAAATGAATGTGTTAACATTTATTACATGGTTTGCATACTATGAGGTATGTGTTTGGAAAGTGCAGAGATCAGATAACCACAGCTGAAGGATGTAACTGGTCCTCATATTCTGCGTACACATACTTACGTTCAGAGTCACGACTCTTGAAGAAACCAATGAGTTTGATGTCTTCCTCCATACGGTCAAAAGCTCGTAACTCCAAAGCATTGTCAATTATCTCAACCGGATCTTCCAACAGCTGAAGCATGAGGTAGAGATGGAGGCAGAAAGTTAAAATGGCATATAAAAGCACTACAACAAATTAGATGTCTAGATTTACAATAAATACTGATTTTTTTTTACATCCAGAAGGAATTCCACAAGAGTGTCTGCAGCGAGCAAGCCATCAAATTCAATCACACGGTCCTCCTTAAAGACATAGACGCTGCCTTCCTCATGCAGACCTTCCAATGAAACATATAGACATTCATCATTGCAATGTAAAGTACACTGTACAAGCATATAGTCATACTGTAGAGTGTATCAGCATCTGTTTATGCAAATTTTGCAAAAAAACATTGATGTTGTTCTAAAATTCTTTTACTGGGATATTTGCAGAGGATTTTAGGAGATGGTTTAAGGCCTTGCTATGTATCATGGGTACATAATAGTCATGTTTGTATCTCTCTATAGTCAGTGCAATGCACTGTTGCTTCCATCACTTTTTCACCAAAACAGATTTTCTTTTTTTTTTTTGTTACACCTGTTAAACTAAGATGTAATGAAGATTTGTTGGGATAGATGGCTGAAAAGTGTTTAAAATATTTGACAGCTTATCTTAACACTTCATGAGGCCTATAAATTCCATGAATACACATATAGCAATATAATTCATAAACATTTATTTAATTTTGGTAAAACAGAATCTTAAATGTATTACACTGCATTTCTACATTGTCTAAATTTCTGCATAAACATTTCAGTGATGATTCTCATTCAGATATTGCACCCATAGACTATATTTGAAGTTTTGCATATGAGTTTTCACCTCACCTAGTTTCTTGGCAACCTTAGCATCTTTTTGGGAGTCAACCATTCCAAAGCCAATATCCTTTTCCTCCAAGACTTGAGCAGCTAACTGTGGAAAAATAAATCATCATTAGCACTGTAACGGCTGTGGTTTTTGTTTGTTTTTTTGTCATATTTTTTATTTACTATGAGCTCAAGCTCCAAGGAAAATGTCAAATAAAATCAAATATACTAAATTAAAGTCTAATAAAATGCATATAACCTAAGTTTATACATATATGTATGCGTGTTTTAGAGAATATTAGTAGTACATGGAGTACCGCTGAGTCACACTGGCATCATTGTCTAGATAGTGAACCTGTGAGCCATGAATTTAGAGTTAAGGAGGCCACACTTACGTAATCATTTTAGATGTTCTCGTTCCATAAATACCCACAGTGTTCTGCTTTCATCATAATGCGAATAGTATAAATGGCTGAATTTTAAAAGCCAATACTCTAGGACCGGTTTCCTGAGCCCACATTCAGAAGCTATCAGGTGCACTGAACATAAAGTGTCTGATTAACATGGTGACTGATGATGTCCACTTTTTAATCCAGATACAGTATATACTTAAGTGAAAAAGAGATGTGAAGATAGACATGTCAGTCAGCTGCAGCCTGTGGGCCTCTAGAGTACTGATATTATATACAAAAAATTTATTTGAACCTATATTATATTACATTCATTTTTATTATTATATTTCATACTTGCAACCAATTTACATTCAAATTTAATTAAAAAAGGCAATTTGCTCCAAATAACACTCTCTGAAGTCCATTCAGTCTTATAGCTTACACCATACATTCACTCTTGTCTTGTCCTCTCTTACCTCTAGCACTAATTCAGCCATTTGTAGCTGTTTCTGCAGCTCTTTTGCAGTTGGCAGAGGAGTGTGGTAGAACAGGCACAGCATGTCGTATTTCTTCAGGGCTTTGCGGTAGTTCTTCTCATTAATGTCCAGGACACGATCTTTGCCATCATAACGTGGGAATTCGAGGCCTTTCTCAGCACCAGCCAGGGTAGAGACGCCCAGAGAGACAAGCAGCAGGATCCAGGTGGTCTGCATGGTCAATACTAGTGACTTAAGACCTTTCCAAAAAGAAACAGTGGCTCTTCTTGCAGCTCCAGTAGGTTTAAGAAAGCTCTGGTCTAGAAGTGTTACAAATAGGAATATAAGTCAAGAGTTTATAACAGAAATAATTACAGTGGAAACCGTCCAGGCCTTTTTCCACCGTTCTTTCCGAGGGTTTGCGTGCCCTTCTTCTGAAAATTCAGCTTTCTTCAGGCAAACCCTTGACTCTCTGCCTTCTCTCCTAACCACAGACAAAGAGTGGCTAGATTTGAAGTCTGCATATGGTGTAGCAAACAATACAGCCATTCAGAAACTGCAGTACAACCCAATTCTCTCTAAAAAAAATTGTCCACAGTTTCTGCACAGTTTCATAAACATTTAGCTGAACATCCTAAATGAAACACAGCTTTGGACATGTTCTAAATGCACCCTGAAACCCAACCCTGTTTTCTACATATGGTGTAGCAAACAATACAGCCATTCAGAAACTGCAGTACAACCCAATTCTCTCTAAAAAAAAATTGTCCACAGTTTCTGCACAGTTTCATAAACATTTAGCTGAACATCCTAAATGAAACACAGCTTTGGACATGTTCTAAATGCACCCTGAAACCCTGTTTTCTACGTTGGTCTGTGTTGTTAGCACTGACATTTAAAGCAATTTAGCATACCTCACAAACACAGAGGCATATTGTTTGATTCAAGTACTGCTGTGGATTTTTTCTTAGTGTCCTCATTGCTAGCAACACTGAACATACAACCTCTCAATCTCCTCTATCTCTTTATGTAATGGCCATCATTTCTCTCTTAATTCTTTTTAGTTCCAGATTTCAACCAAGTGATACTCCATGAATATACTACAAATGACAAATGATTTTGAATCCCAATTGAATGACAAATTGTGTACTAGTATATGTACTATTTAAATTAATTAACTGAGTTTGGATAGACAGATGATCTCTTCGGATACAGAATAAAGTCTGTCTCTGCAGATACACACTATATTTTCTCTCTTTCCAGCACAGAAAAGCTATGATGTTCCTTTAAGACATACTCAAGGACAAAGTGAAAAAGTTTGAGAAATTGAGTAGGTCTGTGTTGTTAGCACTGACATTTAAAGCAATTTAGCATACCTCACAAACACAGAGGCATATTGTTTGATTCAAGTACTGCTGTGGATTTTTTCTTAGTGTCCTCATTGCTAGCAACACTGAACATACAACCTCTCAATCTCCTCTATCTCTTTATGTAATGGCCATCATTTCTCTCTTAATTCTTTTTAGTTCCAGATTTCAACCAAGTGATACTCCATGAATATACTACAAATGACAAATGATTTTGAATCACAATTGAATGACAAATTGTGTACTAGTATATGTACTATTTAAATTAATTAACTGAGTTTGGATAGACAGGTGATCTCTTCGGATACAGAATAAAGTCTGTCTCTGCAGATACACACTATATTTTCTCTCTTTCCAGCACAGAAAAGCTATGATGTTCCTTTAAGACATACTCAAGGACAAAGTGAAAAAGTTTGAGAAATTGAGTAAGAGAGAGAGAGAGAGAAAAGAGGGGGAAAGGTGATGGAAATATTTGACTTTACAATGGAACATGAAATGTTTAAAAATTGCTGAAGACTACAAGTAAGCAAGATCGGATGTATCACTGCATCAGTTCCACATTTCCTCCCTTTTCTCTCATTTAAAACAGACACATTTTCAACATATTATTTATTTGGTTTACACACAAAGGGTTCTGAAGTGAACCTAAATGCATGCAAATAAAATGACACAATGCATTATCGTAAGAACACTATGATGTTTAGAGAGCACTGCTACTGATTAGAATCAAAAGGAGATTTTAATACGTAACACAGTAAAGTGGCCTGAGGGTTGAGGGGTATATAAACAACAGTTACTGGAGCAGAAACACAGCATCATGAGCTGAAGGAGAGCTTGTGCCAAAGGTCTCCAAACTTGTTCCTGCAGAGTTCAGCTCATCAAACACACCTGAACCAGCTAATTAAGGTATTCAGGGTTACTTGGGAAATAACTGACAGGCGTGTTGAAGCAAGGTTGGAACAGTCTGCAGAAAGGTATATATGTGTTACCTACCTGCTTGTAAGACATATTTTTAGGATATCCGTATTTCTTTGGTTATGTATTTTGAGGTTGGGGGTCGATGATCCCATGTAGGCATGGGTACACACCAGTATACCTCAAACCATCAGATTCATCCACTCCGTAAAACAGGGCCTAAGTACAACTCGCATAATTACAAAAACAATGCTTCTCTGCAAGTAACTAGCAGTTTTATGCTTCAACTACTAGAGGGCCAAAATCGTAACAGAAAAGCTGCATTGACATAAATTACTTCATTACTATTCCGGAAAGAAGTAATTACAGTTCATTTTTAAAGCCAAGTAATTTGCATGCATGTTTGCCTGAGAACCTGATCTAATGATACACTGTTTTTAATGGAGCTGTTATATCCTGCTTGTGTTAACTCAGGTAGTCTCCTCAGAATGTCAACTATATTAAAAATATAGAGCTATATTGTTTTATGCATTCTGGTACTGTACCTTTCTGAACCACATACTGTATATCTTACGCACTAAAATTATCACTTCTAACCACTTTTACCATTACTTTTGTACTTTACCTTTTATGTGTATATGTAATGGTAATATAACTTTGGATTTCTCAGAAAATTCTGAGAAGGTTACAGAGAGAAATGAAAAAGTACAAAGACAGCATGGTAATTTTCCATGAAGTCTGTCCCTTCTAGTGTCATCGTGCCTCACCCAGTTTCTGTTGTTTGATCTGTGACACCCTTTTTACCCTCCACCCTTCTGGCTTTTACCATGTACCATTTAAAAAATAATTATTTCTGAAAATAACAGACTGGATAAAATGCATAAAAACAGGCCAAAGTTGATCGGAGAAAAAAAAACAACTGGCAAGAAATATCTAGGTTTTTTTTTAATTGCAAGATTATGCTGAACTCTACACTTTATATTTACTTATTTTAGAAGTATGTGTAGTACAGTAGTAAAAATGTACATGTAATGTACAGTACATCATGTTTCACTAACGACTACCATTGTAGAAGGTGCATGCAGTTGCATTATACATTGGAGGACATAGACCTTAAAAAGGACAGCTAATGATTAGAATCAAAAGGGCAATTTAATACGTAACACAATAAATTGACCTGAGGGGTGTGGAGCAATGTAACATTCCAAGGTACTGGAGCAGAAAAACAACAGCATGAGAAGGAGAACTTATGGTAATAACTGGTCATGGGTTGAACATCATCAGTTAAGCAGACAGCAAGAGCAGATGTAAGATGATCCATCTTTACTACTGTCAATTTAAAAAGTAATTTCAATAGCATTTAGTCAGCCTGGTCTCATGTTTATACGTAGGTATAAATACGTAACATTTACAAGCACAAAACGTACACTTTTGTACGTTTTTAGTCATGCTAAAACGTACAATTTAGACGTATTTCAACGTTTAAAACGTACAAATCGCTACGTATTTTTAGCTAAAAAACGTAAAAATATTTACGTATCTTTTATAATCTTTACTACTGTCAATTTAAAAAGTAATTTCAATAGCATTTAGTAGTTAAATATGTGTTCTGCACCTTGTGCTAAACCGGTTTGGTCCTCTGATGACGGAGCATCAGTGTGGCTCCTTTGAGGTCTGTTACCACAGGCCTGAACTCACTCTTAAAGTCTTTTGATTAACTCAGCATCCATAAATATTTCTCTTTTTCATTCAGATGCCATTTTGTGGAATGATTACATTAGTTGAGGAATCTCCTGCACTGCCGAATCGCTTAACCGGCCATCTATATTGAATTTTGGGAATGTGTGGCATCCGTGTTTGTTTTGCTGTGGGTTGTGGTGGAGAACAGTATGATTCATCATAAGATACTGAACAATGCTGTTTTCCATGTGTCTCTGCCCTGGTGTGTGATTGCTTGTGACAGGTTTACAATACTGCATGACCTAAGGTTTGACAGAGATGTTGTCTTTGAGGGATTGTTCACATTGTATGATTCTGTTAACTACCTTGTATTATAACCACAAACATGATGAATACCTTTCAATATTAAGGTTAATTAAGGTTTTTATACATAGCAGAGCAATAGATAAAAACAACAGTTCTGTCAGGACCACTATCGTCAAAGACGATTGACAATTAGCATACAGTTTGGATTGGTGGTATGGTTCTGTTCTGGGCAAGAACTCCCTGCGCATCCATGCAGCCTAGCATGGATGAGAGCAGGGAGAGCAGGGTAAACAGAACAGAACCAACATAAATGTATTGCAGATATTGTTAAAGTTCAATAATGTCATGTACACATTTTAGAATTAGTCTGATTCAAAGGAGAATCAGAAGGCTGAATCCTGACTGACAGAGGAGGAGTTGGGGATGGAGAAGGGTAATTAGCTATTGACCAATGCGAAAACTGCTGATAATACTGAGGGACCTTATATATGAATGCTTAGATAGGTGTCGTATTCCCATAGGTTGATGGGGATCAGCTGAGAGTCAGCTGATGCGAGCTTGACTAACGTGACCTGCCAGAACTAACGCTACACTAGATTTTCTTCAAAACTTTTAACCAACATCCAAATGGCGCTGAATGTCTTGTATCTGGAAAACAGTAAATTTACAACAGTTAAAAGAGTTACAAAAAAATGTTGACAGTATTTACATACATATATAGTTAATATTACTGAATTAATAAGAAGGAATTTTCCTTTTTTTTTTTTTTTTGCACTTCATTACATTGTTTGTGGGGGGTTTCTTTCTTTTTTTCTGTGTGTGTGTGTGTGTGTGTAATGTCATTTTGTCAAAAAATAATATTAAATTTGAATGATTAAACATAATTTTTATTGTTGTTATTTTTAACTAGGGTTACAAATGTTATAAAAGAAATGATACCCTTCAGTTTAAAACAAATCAAAAAGGAATTGTGGATGATTCAAGAATGACATGCTTGAAAATGTTCTTAACAACATACGACATGCTATTATGTAAGAGTCATTTCATAATCAAATGCTTGAGTTGTCATTTGCATTTTATGGTGAATCATACTTCAGTGTTGTGATTGTTAGATTTTTTATTTGCAAATAAAGATAATACCACAATAATATAATGTTGCCCAAACCCAGTTGGAGAAAACTGCAGGGTTTTTTTTTTATCATTATCTTAATTTATGAAGTAAATTTCCTCATAACTACAGTAATTGGAATTGCAAGTAATTTCATCATTTTCAAAATTTCAAAAACAAAAACGGCTTATTTCATTCAAATGTCAATAGCTTTTATTTAGATGGTATGGTAACATTATAACTAACATGATTTGATAATATTAAATTTGAATGATTAAACATAATTTTTATTGTTGTTATTTTTAACTAGGGTTACAAATGTTATAAAAGAAATGATACCCTTCAGTTTAAAACAAATCAAAAAGGAATTGTGGATGATTCAAGAATGACATGCTTGAAAATGTTCTTAACAACATACGACATGCTATTATGTAAGAGTCATTTCATAATCAAATGCTTGAGTTGTCATTTGCATTTTATGGTGAATCATACTTCAGTGTTGTGATTGTTAGATTTTTTATTTGCAAATAAAGATAATACCACAATAATATAATGTTGCCCAAACCCAGTTGGAGAAAACTGCAGGGTTTTTTTTTTTATCATTATCTTAATTTATGAAGTAAATTTCCTCATAACTACAGTAATTGGAATTGCAAGTAATTTCATCATTTTCAAAATTTCAAAAACAAAAATGTCAATAGCTTTTATTTAGATGGTATGGTAACATTATAACTAACATGATTTGTAAAAGAACATGGACATATGGAAGTTTATTTCCCACAAGTGAAAGTTAAAATATGCATTCTGAATTCCAGTTACAATCACCCTTGCTTGCAACTTATTTGCATACAAAGTGCATTCTCTTATTTGAATTGGTCATTAACTGGAGTGACATATTCTGCTATAAGTGCAATTCCCACAGCTATATGGCCTTTAGTTGTCAAAATGAAGCAGTCAGTCCACATGTGCATGTCTAATATATGTTGAAACAGATTCGTTGTTTTTCACTGTTTCTCTCCGGCTGCAACAATGAACAAAGAGCAGCCCACAGCATTGTTTTGCCAGTACTTTTCCACTTTTGCCTGTAGTAGCAGCACCAGCCTCAGGAGGAAATGCAAAGATAGAAAAAGAGGTCATAGTAACATTAACCAAACATAGGAGCAAATAAACGGGTATACGTTTTCACAGAACGGCTCTATATCTGATAAGATGCTGTTATGTTGAGTGGTACGGAAGAGGTAAAATATCACCTGTTGAATGGATGCGATCAGACTTTTGCACTGCATGTTGCACTTCTCAGTACTGCATTTGTTCTCATCCCTCTCAAGTCCAACAGTCTTGTCATAATACTTTGTTTATTTACTCATGGATAAGTAGTTCAAACCAAATATGGATAGAGATTAGGTTAGACAAGGTTATGCCTTCGATTAGACTAGGAATGTTGAATCTCCCATACAGGTGAAACGCCAAGCCGCAGGATGTACTTGGTTTGAAGAGCTAGCAGCATTTAGATTGTGATTGTCATATATTTGGAACGTTGTCAAAATAGATTCTTGGAACATGTTTCCGTTTTTTAACTTTCTCAGAAACATCAAATAGAGTATTGACACATCCTAACAACCTGCAGTGCTTTGCCTAAACAAAGGTGCGAGGTGGAGGTTGGCTCAAAACAATTATTCACCCACGCATTTTCATCTTCAAGAATGTTTTCCACTGGGTCACCTCCATTCCTAACATGCATCTGAATGCAAATTAAATGGAGGCTGTCAGTGGAAAACTACTGCACAGAAAAACTGTCATGCTGTGGAGAGAAAGAGAGAAAGAGAGAACGAGAGAAAGAGAGAGAGCACTGCGAAACAGCAATGCAAAATCTGAAATTGTTTTTATATTCTTTCAAAGGCAAATGTATTTTAATTTATATTACATAGACCACTAGTGTCTATATTCTGCTAATATAACTACTGAGGGATTTTATACAGCTAACATGCACTGTATGTTATTGAAATGATTGATTCTCTGCGTGTGTATAGGAGTAATTGTCTTCCTATTGCAGATGGATTAAAATATTTATGCAGAATAATCATTTAAGGGAAAAAACAACAGGACTAAATAACTTTATGCACAATTTTGATGGCATTGTTAATGAAATATCATGTTACTACAAGAAAGGGTGATCTCTACAAGATGTTACGGAGCCATGAATGACTGATAAACAAGACTGTAAAATGTCACTTTGAAATGCAGTGGTGTTTGAGTCAACTGTTTGGAATATATGACATATTAAAGATGCAAGTAATTACACAAACATGCAAGTAAATGGCACAATATATCAGATTTAATGTCAAATAACCAAGCTCATACAGTTTGTCCTTCTCAAATGAATGTCTTTTTATTCATCCGCAACTTTTGATAATAAAAGTAGCAAATGTACAATGTAAAAAACATTTGTGTATTTCTGAAAGATCAGATTGAAAGCAATAAACTCCATATGCATCTTTTTAGCTTATGGAATTCATCACAATGAATCGATAAAGCCAGCTTTCTGGCAACACAAGACATCATAACAAATGTACACACTCTAAACTAAATCGCACAACAGAAATATTTGAAATCCATACACCATTCAATGACAAATGATTCAATACAAACAAAACATGAGCTACTGAAAACAAATAAAAACAAATAAAAACAAAACCCTTTTATTGTTATGAAAGGCCATGTTAAAATAAGTCCCTCAGAGAGTGACGTTGAATGAAATAATGTAACAGTCCATTACCATTCACATTATTAAACAAAACAAACAACATATACAAACAAGTGCCTTCAAAAACACAGAACCCCATCATCATTTCACTATTAAATAAATGGATAAATATTCAAACATGTGGGTGTTGGTTTGAAAATCTGTGGTGTATCCAAAACCAACAATCAATTCCACACCCCTAAGCAAGTAGTAGTAGGGCATTGCCAGAAAAAAAGGTCATATGCATACAAGTGTCCAATGTGTGCTAAAAGGATGTTCTGTTGGAGCATAAGTCTACTACAAACAACACAAAACTGATCATTTATATTGCAATTTCAAGGAGATCATGTCAGGTTTGGATGATAAGAACAGTGAATCGGAATCAATTAGATAATTGCAACAGTTACTAAACTTTGTAAATTTCATTACAGCTTATGCAGTGGTATGACTGTGCTTTTTTCCCACTGAGATTTAGGATGAATCTACAAAAAAGAATAAGATGAGCTGATAGCTGCAAAGAAATAGGAATCACTTCAGTAACATTCAAAAGCACCACAAGAGTTCAAAACCAAACTGTTCATTTGTGGAAAATAAATATAAAAGAATGAATGTCTATAGAACATTTTCTTTTTATTCACCTCTTTTACAAAGAGATTGTCTGTACAAAAACAAATTTAAACATATGGAGTGATTTACATGGATTTGATTTATAATGTAAAACAATAGCTCTCCAATGACTTTATCCCAACTTCATTTTAGTTGGAATAATAAAAATTGACTTTTTGAAGGCCCATTTGAAAAAAAAAAACTAAAATCTTTTGACATAGCTTCTGAATTCAAATGTCATTACATTTAAGGTATTTTCAAGGTATTAATACAACATTGTGAACTTGTACTTATTAAAATAAGTTACATATGTCTAAAAAATCCCCCACGTCCTTCTCATTTTCACTAAGGCCATCCAGCAGTTCCCCTTTCTCTGAACAAATAGTGCATTCAACAGCAGATCAACAACAGGCAAAGCCTGTTACTGCAGCCACAATCAAATTCTTCTTCTAGAAGAACAAGATACTATTTTGCGCAGCAATCAAAATTAGACATCCCAGTCTTAATGCTTTCGGGATCATTCATAATACCAGTTATGATATCAGTTATTAACATATTAATGACAGTGTTCCCCAGCTAGAGTCTTTCCTGTGGTGGCTCTTATGGTCATTTAGTAACATCCATATAACCAGTCTGTGCATTTTATAGTTGAGTTGTTTTATAGTGATAACATATCGGAAGTCTTTTTTTTTTTTACATGTTATATTTACAAAAAGCAATGTCTTCACGGCTCTGCACAAATGCTTATGCTCTGCAAAAAAGGCATTTTGGTGTTTTTGTCCAATGAAAGTAGCTTTAAATAAAGTAAAGAAAGTACAGAAAATACAGCAAATTGCATATACAGTTACAATTTACATGAATAGATCTAAATACTCACTTGTATTTGGGAATGTACATTAGGTTTAATCAGATGGCACAACACCTCTATATATCTATTTAAATAAAAACTTTGACATCATGATACCCACCTATTCTCACTGTAAATTCTTAATTTTCACAATTTCTCTCACATTAAAACTTTGGAAACACTATTCCAGTTACACAGGTGACAAATATACAAGTGAGGTCAAGTTTTAGAAATTTGGTAGTCCTAACAGTGTGCATATGCAAAAGACAACTTCCTTACACATTTACGTACCACTATATGAGTGGTCTGTTGCATGAAAAAAATGACTTGAGGCAAAAAAACTGCCCTCATTTCAGTGCACACATTAAGGCAAAATTCACCCAGGAATAAAAATAGTACATCCTCCTACATTACCTTAGCTCAACCAAGCATAACCCTATAAAAAAGCTACGGTCTCAATAATGCATTTGGTTGTCAACATACCACAAAGAGCAACTATTTTCAAAGAGATTTGACAGAACCAAGGTGAAGGAATAAATAACCTCTATCAGTATGATTCAAAATGCTTAAAGTCCCTAAAAGGAAGTTCTAAAAAGAAAAATAAACCACACTGTAAATATTACAGACCCCAAATGGCTTGTAATAACAAATAGTTAATATAAATGTGCTGTCTTTTAGGCAGGCCTTATGGTACTGCAAGATCAGCATATTACAAGGAGAAGTACACAAACATGAAAACACCCAGTGAACAAACAAATACCAGGCCTAAGTTAAGTAAAAGCTTGATCTTAGGAGGTTCATGAAGCATTTCACGGACAGCTCCTTCATCTTCTTCAACCACTTTGGGTTCAGCAACAGATGTTTTCTCTTTGTGAAAACAAATCCAGTCAAACACTTGCAGGCAGCTCTCTTTATCACACTTGCCTTGATTCTTCTGTTTTACAAGATGTGCATGACCATTGGCAAACAGCTCCATTGGTGTGGATGCCTCTGTGCTTGGGGTCATGGGATCTTGCTCACAAGGGGAGGGCATAAGGAGGGTCATGTCAGCCCCATCAAGACATCTCTCCTTCTGGACATCTTCTGGAACATCTTTCTTGAGAACACCATCGCCGCTGCCATTAGTGAGTTTGTACATCTCCTCTCGTTCACTCACAGGAAGACGCTTAAATTCTTTCAAGCCCCAGATTGTGGTACGCTTGACCTTCTCCTCTTCTGGTGGAGATGTGCACAGACTGACACACACAGCCACCAGCCCTGAGATCCAAAACAGCCCGGCAGCAATGTACATGTAGTGGACATCTGTGATGAAACCCGGGCGTTCATCCGGCTGGTCACATTTTGGCTCACGATATATGAACACAAGGAGGAGGCGGGCAGTGCCTAGTACGAACCCAGTCATGCCGCCCCAAAATGCGCCGGTCTCATTGCAACGCTTCCAGAAGACTCCAAGAAGAAAAAGGGCAGCAATGGGTGGAGTGAGGTATCCTGCAATTTCCTGGATATACAGGTACATCTGGCCACCTTGCATCTCAATAATGACAGGCACCCAAGCGATGCTGACGGTCACCATGAATAGCACAAAAAACCTGCCGACGACCACCAGCTCACGGGAGGAGGCACATACACGCAGCATTTTATAAATGTCCAGTGTGAAGATGGTGCTAGCGCTGTTAAAAATTGAATCTAGGTCACTCATGAGGGCAGCGATCATCACAGCCATCATCAACCCCCTGAGACCCACCGGCATCACGCTCATAACCAGCCGAGGGTAGGCGACGTTGGAACAGCCAGCCTGACTGCCGCACACAGCCATGCAGTGCTCTGGTCCGATGCATGCCAGCTCATCGGGGAACAATATTCGTGAGATCATCCCTGGAATAACGATGATGAACATGGGAAGGATCTTCAGCATTCCTGCCATAAGTGTGGAGCCTTTGGCATGGGCAATGTTCTTGGCAGCTAACACTCTCTGGACGATGACCTGGTCAGCACACCAGTACCAAATGGATGAGGGTGTTTGACCCAAAACGAAGCCTGGCCAAGGGATGTCTTCATCAAGCGGCCCTCGTAGGAGCTTGAGGGAATCTGGCTTGGGATGGATTCGGCAGGAGTTTGTGTACTGGAAGCTGAAGTTGCTGTTAGCCAGGATGGCTGTGACATTGGGGACTGCCTCCATGTATTTTTCCCGCACCCCTTCCAAACCGCCGACCTTGACCAGGCTGATGATGGTGAGGGTTAACGCACCGCCAATCATGAGCACGGCCTGTAGAGTGTCCGTGTAGATCACAGCAGCCAGTCCACCGGTTACTGTCAGCAAGGCGGTCATAGAGATAAGCAAGATGATCGACAGGTAGAGGTTCCAGCCAAGAGACTCCTGGATGAAAAGAGCTCCTGCGTACAAGTCCACTGAGAGTTTAGTAAAGATGTAGACCAGAAGTGAGAGGGCTGCAAAGTAAATCTTTAGCCGCTTGCCCCCATAGCGCTTGGAGAGGTACTCTGGCATGGTGTAAACTCCAGAGTAGATGTAGACTGGGATGAACACCCAACCAAGCAGCTGCAGAAGCAGGATGGCATTGAACTCCCAGGCACCCACTGCAAAACCACTGGCTGCACCAGAACCAGCAAGTCCAATGAAATGCTCACTGCCGATGTTGCTGACAAACAGTGAGGCACCGATCACCACCCAATTCATAGTTCGACCTGCCAGGAAGTAGCCACTGACAGTGCTATGGTTGGCTTTCCACATGGCGAGCAGACCAATTACAAGCACGAGCACAAAATAAAGTGCAACAACTGCAATATCCGCCGCCTCCATCACTGGTCCTGTTTTTAACATGTTTAAGCCACTATCACAGTTCAAAATGCAATTGTCTGCAACAAATGTGGTTTATTTGGGTAAAGATGCAAGCAAAAGCACATAAAATCTCTTATTCCTTTGGTTTGCTGTCTTTCTAGAAGGAAACGGAAGCATCCGCCGTCTGTCAGATGAATTTCTATTTGGTTTGTGTTTGGTTTTGATTTGATTGGTTATCCAACGGTGCTCTCATGAAGCACAAGAGTTATTTTGGGGAGGATGTCTCTGGCTTCTGGTCTAGAAATGGCAAGCATTTACATTCCTGCAAGACAGCAAACAGAGAAAGAAAGAGAGAAACAGGGCATGCGTTAGATTAGGTGTGGATCAAAAGACTACAGCTAATGACAGATTTTCTCCACCCCATTCAGTGTTTCCCCTGCCATTATTTTAGGGGGGCGGCCCGCCTCCCTTGACGGTCAAGTTAATTTTATTTAATTATATTTTTATCTATAGCGCCAGATCACAACAGAAGTAATTAAAGTAACAGAACCTTTCTTATAGAACATGTCTATACCTTGTTCTTTCATTAAGCAAACTAAATAGCCTTATGTTATTGATCTTATTTACACGACGGCATGTCATTTCAGTCTCTACATTATGGTCACGCTCTCTGCATCACGCACAGCGGAGTTCTGCCCGATTTAACTGCACATTATAATGTGAAGCTGCCTAAATTAGTATAGACTTTTAATATCAGTGTATCCTTAGAAGAAATTAATAGCAATAAAAAAACACTGTTTAATTCACTTTGTCCATTTTCAAATAAGCTATATGATGATAAAATAACAACAAACTTTCATCATAATAATTTACTCCTTTTAATCTTTATGACAAGTTTATTTAGACTTCACTTTCAACATGTATAAGAATTCAGCTCAAATTTTTTGACAGTGTTGTCAAATCTTTGTCTCCAATCCCCACCTGACTTTAATGCTTGCATAACTTGGACATACGCAAATGTGCCGCATCACTTCCCAATCCACTGCTCTGCCATCTGAAAAACTATACCAGCCAGCTCGGACTTCAGGCAATAATTCCTTGTGAATCATAGAGCAGATTATTGCATAAAACTACACTGATTGGTTCTAACCACTAGCTTAACATCCCATCTAACAGTAAGCTAAAGGTCAGACTGCAACAGCCCTGACAACTAGTTCGGTCATATTAATGTTGAGGTTTAAAGCGGAAATGAGAAACAAAGATTTCAAAGTAATCAATGGTAGCACACACTAGCAGATGCTTATGCCATTAGGCAAAAAAAAAATGCAAGGAATGTCAATAAACAATGACTACTGCCACCTATTGGTACTACTGTGAAATTGCTCCTGTAACTCATTTAAGATGCATATCACATATGTATCTGATGTATCCTGTCAGAACAATGCCAACTCTGTTCCTCTTACAGCCCAACACGGGGAGCCATGTGCCCAACCCTTACCAAACAAAATCCCTTATCACCAATCTAGGTTAAATCCACACAATGAGGAAAAAAATAATTCACATTCCTCTTTACTTTCCTTTTCATAGCCCAGGATTTTTATAAACCAGGTCTATAATTACTGTATACGATGATGATTACAACCGTACCTTTTGTATCAAAGCACACCACCATAACACCATGATGCTGTAATTGTATAACACGACCTGTGCTGATGTTATCAGGTTGCATTTGCTCATCAGCGTTGCTATAAATTTAGCATAACTGACAACACATCACAAATGACAATATATTAAGTCAATACTATAAACAACTTGATGTTAAAGGGACAGTTAACCTAAATTATGTCATCCTTTACTGACATCATATAATTCCCAACTCCATGTGACTTTCTTTCTTAAGTGGAACACAGAAAGAGATGTTAGGCAGAATGACAGTCTTGATCACCATTGAGTTTAAAGAATAGAAAACAATACAAGTCAGTCACAAATATTCTACCTAACATCTCCAAGAAAGAGCGTCAAAACGGGGGGGAGTAAATTATGACAATTTTCAGATCCTTTAAATCTAACAACATCCAGCCAGACTGAGATAATCTCTTTATGGATTCTCTGGTTGGCCAAGAAAAAAAGGAAGGGGACTTGGGATGGGCAAGGAGGAAAATGTCCACTTGCAGCCAATTCACCTCACTACAAGCACAAACCTGCTTTAGTAATCGGTGGCAAAGACTTTCAACAGATAACTCAAAAATACAAGACAGTAAGTTAAGTAGTAAAGGAGGAGATATTTTGAACCTTTTAAGGATGGGTGACTAAATCTAACCTGCTTCAAAAAATAAAAAACAAAGCCCTATTACACTGGTTATTGACACTCATGTCGTGTTAGGAAATGTGTCGATTAATTCTGCGTGGAATTTTACGACAGTGAGTGACAGGAGAACAAGCCACTGCGACTCCTGCGGAATTTCTAGAAGCACCGCTCGCTGGAAAGAACGATGCTTTATGCTGTAATGTTTTTATAGTGACCAAGACGGTCATTATTTACTCACCCTCAAACCCTGTACGACCTTCTTCCGCTATTACCATTCATTTTCAAAAAAGCTAAATAATAAAAGTGATTACCAAGCTGTCACGCCTCCTTTTTAAAAAAATGAATTTTAAATGACCTATCCATTTAATTCAAGACATATTCTGTGTCATGCCATTTGAAAAACAGCATCTTAAAATAACTTGATTATTTATCTTGCAGATATTTACTACTAAATGACGAAATTCTTCAAATATGGCGCATTTGTTGTACGGTGAAACAAATACAGTCTCTTTACAAGTCCATATTTGCGTGGCTCATTGGTTTAGTTACCTTTTAAAATTCCTGTTTGATCAATACAAGTTACACTTGAGATACAACTTACCATTTTCATGATACAGTCTTGAAATAAAGAACCGAGCAGCGCGTGTTACTAGAATGAAGGAAGGGCTCCAAGCGATGTGGTCTACGTCAATTTCTGACAGCTTCAACGCGGAAGGAGGTAGGATATGTTCGCTGTCAGAAAAGGTCTTTAAAAGTTCAGAAATGAAAGATTTCATCCCTTCGGAATGAATGATGCCCCCAAACGCGCTTTTTATCCACTCTTGCTCTTCCGCTGTAAACGCCCTTGTTGTACATTCGATGTGACGTGGCGAGGGCAAGTAATTTGCATATTAAACCACGCCTATATCTTACAAGAGTTTATTCGTTAAAAGAGCCTTTGTTTCATGACTTGTCACCTCTTGTAGTCCTTTACTTAAAGGGGTCATATGACGTTGCTAAAAATAACATTATTTTGTGTATTTGGTGTAATGAAATGTGTTTATGTGGTTTAAGGTTAAAAAAACACATTATTTTCCACATACTGTACATTATTGTTTCTCCTCTATGCCCCGCCTTTCTGAAATGCGTCGATTTTTACAAAGCTCATCGCTCTGAAAAGCGAGGTGTGCAATCATGTTTAGATGATGGCCCTCTTATCTTTATTTTTATTTTATTCTTTTTGTGATTTGTTTCCATTTTATTTTTGTGGTTGATATTATGTGATGTATGCTTACTCTTTGTATGTTTCCGTTCTTTGCAATAAAAACATTTTTTTTTTAAAAAGAAAAAAAGAAAAGCGAGGTGTGCTCTGATTGGCCAGCTATCTAGTGCGGTGTGATTGGCCGAATGCCTCAAGCGTGTGACGGAAATGTTACGCCCCTTACTATGCTGTGATGCCGTTTCCCAGCAGGAAGAGACCAAACCAATAAAACCCATTACAAATGAGGCATTTGTTGCATCCAGTGGGGACATAATTACTGATTATGACTTATACAGTCTTTTTACGCATTGCATATCGTGCTGCGTAAACATAAAACCATGTCTGCGTCTGACGCAGTAAAAATAGTTTGCGGTTTGATATTCAGATTTCTTTTGCTTATAAATACGCAGTGCGCTGTCATAGACATGCAAATAATAAATTAAATATACATTTAAAATAAAAATAAATTTCAGATCAGAATAGTTAAGTTAAGGGATCAAGAAAGGGTTAACTGACAAAAGCTATACTGTGAAACTTTCGCAAGTCAGAATATTGAAGCCAAGTACTCAAGGAAAGGTACTGTGATTGGCCGAATGCCTCAAGCGTGTGACGGAAATGTTACGCCCCTTACTATGCTGTGATGCCGTTTCCCAGCAGGAAGAGACCAAACCAATAAAACCCATTACAAATGAGGCATTTGTTGCATCCAGTGGGGACATAATTACTGATTATGACTTATACAGTCTTTTTACGCATTGCGTATCGTGCTGCGTAAACATAAAACCATGTCTGCGTCTGACGCAGTAAAAATAGTTTGCGGTTTGATATTCAGATTTCTTTTGCTTATAAATACGCAGTGCGCTGTCATAGACATGCAAATAATAAATTGAATATACATTTAAAATAAAAATAAATTTCAGATCAGAATAGTTAAGTTAAGGGATCAAGAAAGGGTTAACTGACAAAAGCTATACTGTGAAACTTTCGCAAGTCAGAATATTGAAGCCAAGTACTCAAGGAAAGGTACAACAACCAAAACTTTATTGTCAAACAAAGTGTACAAGTGTATATGTGTATATGCTCATTTACCTAATTAATTGTAAACCGTTATTCACTGGGACAGCACCGTATGACATTATTATACAAAAAATTTAGCACGACATAAAACAATGTTTTTGTATTCCAGCAGTCTGCGTGTTTATTGATAATAGACGTTAAACATGAATAACTTCTTTCTTACACATTCCTTACTAGCGGACTTACCAAGGGGTTTGCGGACAAGAGCTTTGCTGTGAAAAACATTCACAGATCAAGCTGGTGAAGATGACATCGTTTTCATTCCTCTAATGGCGCTTTTCCACTGCGTGGTACGACTCGGCTCGGCTCGGCACGACTCAGTATGGCACGGCACGGTTCGGCTCGGCACGGTTTGCATTTCCACTGCAGTTCAGTACCGCTTTAGAGTGGGTGGGATTATTCACATGTCGTTATAGTTGCGCCGCCTCTACTACCACGGCTCCTAAAAAAACGTTTTCATTCCGGGTCGCCCCATCAAGCTCTCGCTGGATCCGCTCCTCTGCTATCAATGAGAGGAACGTCTGTTCTTCCACAACAGACAATAAAACTTTTTGGTTGTTAAAAAAAAGGTGCGCTCATTTAAAACAGTTGCGTTCGGTCCTTCGCTGGCTGTGCTGATTTAAATCTAGCGGATCTGTTTCGACCTCACTCTGACCGTCACTAACGGTCTAAATAGAATGATAACCTTTGTTCCGCCTTCTCTCGAGACCTTATGTAAACAAAGTCATGCCCATGACCCCAGAGGCAGAACTCCCGCACGTATAAAAGCGGGTTTTACTTCCGGCTCATGTTTTACAGCTGACAGCTGTCCATTTTCACATATACAAGTGAACGTAAGTTATGACTATAACTATGGATCTGTGAGACCGAAGGATGATCATCACTAATGGTCTAAATAGAATGATAACCTTTGTTCCGCCTTCTCTCGAGACCTTATGTAAACAAAGTCATGCCCGTGACCCCAGAGGCAGAACTCCCGCACGTATAAAAGCGGGTTTTACTTCCGGCTCCTTCTCTTTACCTTTCTCGCCTTGAGAGACCTGGTACTGGTAAGAACTATCTAATTTATATTTTACCATTCAATTCTTCACCAGATGGTGCAGGTGCCTTGAGTCCCTGTGAATTGTGGTGTGTTTTTCTCTGCTGAATTGCAGTTGGTAGAATTTACTATCACTGCATTATTGTTCATTAGGCTAGTTATATATACTAGCAGTTCAATTGGGATTATTCTGATTTGTTTTTCAGAGTATTCATCAGTGGATATTGAATATATTCCATTACAAAATGTTTGTGAGTATTGTATATTTTCTCATATCCTATATCACTGTTCGCAGTTGTTGGGATTGATAAAGGCCTGCTAAGTACGTTCGCGTTCTGGTGCGGGTCTTTGGATTCGTGTCAGCTTGATATATTTCACTGCTGTTCGCAGCCAGTGTGTTGTGTGTGGCTTACCTACTGCGCCAGGAGTATTATGGCTTCTCAGTGCTGCAGATTTTGTCGCTCAGCAATGGACCCTCGTGATGGGCATAGGGAATGTCCTTCATGCTTGGGGGTTGCTCATTTGAAGGAGGATGTGGATAATCCCTGCACTGCAGCTTGTGATCTACCTAGAGATGAACTAATTCGTCGCGCTAATAGGGCATGCAGCTCTGCTCCTGAGCGTGGTAGGGTGAGGGAACGTTCATCAGACAGGCATGGTCATAAGCCATGGCCATGCAAACACTCATGACTATCATGACGCCACACACACATCAAGCCGTGAGTTTGTGGCTGAGGCAACTAAACGTCCAACGCCAGCTCTGACAACAGAAGGTGGTAACACTGATACTCATCTGCAGATCCTAGCAGCTATTCAGAGTTTATCACGGAGAATGGATCAGTTTGAAGCTAATCGTCCTCCTCCTCATCTCTACCTCCCGGTAGGGAGGACGTTCCAATGGATGGGCAACAGTCCCGTCCTGGGGAAGGCACAAAGGATGCTGATGTGTTATCACTTCTGGCTCCCCACTCTCTCTTTGATGATGCACAACAGTCGGGAGAAGGGAGCCAGTGTGAAGGAACTCATTCAGACTCTGCAGAAGTTGATGATGAATCATCAATGAAAGAGGAGTTTCCTTCAAATACCCTTATTACTAAGGTATTTAGTGCAGCCAAGATCATTGGCCTGCAGTCTACATTGCCTGATCCTGCTCCTGTTGGGGGTGTATGGGAAGGCATATCTCAGAATAGTTCTGCACCTTGTATTCCAGTGGCAGACGACTACACGTCTATGTTGAAAACAGCTTGGAAGAAACTGTCTCAAAAACCTCAATTTAATGCAGGCTGTAGACGGTTGGCCAATGCCTGTTATCCTACAGAAACTGGATTGGGGGACATGCCACCAGTAGAATGAGTGATCGCTGCATGGACTGCCTTAGGCCCCGTCCATGCTTCCAATAACCCTCGTTGTCCCAGGAAGGAGTGTGCCAAAACTGACCGTCTGGTTTCAAGGTCCTTTAATGCTGCTGCACGTGCAGCCCGTACAGGCAATGCTTTGGCTATCCTGCTAGCAGCTTTGCAAAAAACAATAAGCGCATATGACCAAGATTCTAGGAACCTTGTTGATTCAGCTTTGCCTGCCCACTTTCAACTGACACGTGATGTGGGGGAGGTAATGTCTTCGGCTATTTTATGTCGTAGACAAATATGGCTGGCACAAATCACTTTGCCTGACGCCATAAGAGGTGAGCTAATTAATTTGCCAGTGATGCCTGGTCAGGTCTTTCATTCAGACTCTCAAGAAATGCTGGATAGGGCAGAGTGCTCTATCACAATGAGGGAAACTGTTCAGCGAGCCTGTCATAAACCTCCTCTCATATATTCCCAGAGGAAATCTCAGCCCCGGGGGGGAAAACAACAGGGAAGTTCACGGAGCTATGCAGGCAGAGACGGACCTGCTTAGGGATCAGGGGCCAGCCGTCGACTGTTCCTCCCAACTTTTGCGGGCCAGTTGGGAAAAATAGTCTCAGACCTGTGGGTTTTATCCACCATAGCTCATGGGTACAGACTGCAATTTTGACGGCGCCCTCCACCCTTTTCAAAAGTCCGAATGACTGTTGTCAGGGACCCAGTACTGAACTCCATACTGGTAGAAGAGATATAAAATCTCTTACAAAAAGGAGCAATTTCAAAGGTGCCCTTCAACGCACAGCAGACTGGATTTTATTCAACTTATTTCATAGTGCCAAAAAAAGACGGCGGTCATCATCCCGTTCTAGACCTCAGGGGACTCAACCGATTCTTGAAAGTTCTTCCATTCAAAATGATCCATACAAGGATTATAATGCAGTCCATAAGTCCAGGAGAATGGTTCACTTCTCTGGATCTAAAAGATGCCTATTTTCATGTTCCAATTTGCCCAGAGCACAGGCCCTTCCTCCGCTTTGCTTTTCAAGGCCAAGCCTTTCAGTTCAGGGTTCTACCATTCGGCCTGTCATTAGCACCAAGAATCTTCACTCGGGTG